TGGCGGCGTGCACTCACGACAGCGATGGCGTTCGGTGACTCTGGCACGTGCCTAACAAAACTGCGAGGCCGGTATCATGACATCACAGCAAAGCCAAAACAAAGATTGGGAGGGCGAGAGCTGCAGCGAGGTAAGTTGGCCACGGCGAGGTGGAGCTCGGTGGCCGTGGCAGCGCTACCTCGACAGAAACGGTGCGCATGGCCAATTCTCGGCAGCCAGAGGTGGGGCGAGTGGGTCAGCGAGAAGTGCAAGGGTGAGGCAGAGCTGTGAGCGAGAGGAATTGGGCGCTGGCGGTGCGATGGCGATGGATTGCGCCGGTGAACAGGAGGGTCTCTATGGCGGCGGGAAGTAGAAAGAGGAGGAGACGGACGCCGGCGACGCGTTATAACGGGCATGGGCAAAACGTTGAGTCGTCCAGCTCCTTCTTGAGCACGGCGACACGAACAACTGCATGTCCGCGCTGTGCAAAGGCAGCTAACGAAGGCGGCGGTCGGCGACCGATGGCGAAGCAGCTGTGTGGCACCTGCTTGCCGGCAACACTGTAGCCGACTGACATAGCATCTTCAGCGCTCTCTATCTCCTGATTTCGCTACTAAATGTGATGAGATCCCCTAAGCAAAGTTGTTCATTGATCTGAGATCTCCAACTTTGGTTAAAGGCTCAACATCCAAAACTTGATGGTTTCAAAGATTTTGAATTTTGAAGAGAAGCACTTTGAAACTATAAAACTCCATTCAGTTAGGGTTTTGGAAATCTGATATAATTAGCAAACTTTGGGAATTAATTAATGAACAATCATTAATCAAACCTCACAACCAATTACACATTAGCAAAGCTTAATCATCCCACCAACCAATGAAACAAAAGTTTGACAAATTTTATTTATGAAAATTCATTTATTAATCCCCCAAAAATTGAACTTGATAACTGTATTTCAGGACTTAGTCTGGCTAAGTGTGAAGGTTAGTTATTGAATTCAATATTTGGAGCACAACTTTAACATGTTTGACTTGGAAACACAACAAACATTTGATTCTACATTATAGAGCATACTTGGAACTATAAAGTTTATTTTAACCAAATTTTAATTGTTTAAGCAAATTCTCATATTTAAAATCACAAAGAACCTTAATTAACTTTAATGATAACATTCCATGCAACATATGAAACATAACATATGCAACATATAAAACACTATATATGCAACATAGCAATGCTATAAATGAAACATGGAGTGCATAAATGACATGACATTTGGTGATTATGCTTGATGATGCTTATGATCAAGTTTTAACTGCTTTTTAACATCTAGGATGTTACACGGTGGTAAGCGACAGAATGTGCAAGGCGAGAGGTTGTGGGTTTCAAATCTTGGTGGCTACACTTGTTCAAAACTTGTGGTAATTAAATCTTGTGAGATATGATTGGTCCTCTAGGCTTCTGACCACATAATTTTTTTTTTTTTTAATAGGATTTTAAATGATTTTAAAAAAATCTAAAAAATATTTTTAGGGATGGTTGACTTAAGTCAAGTGACCCTAAAAATTGATTTTTAAAGGCGGTTGTCTTAATAGAACTGTGCCTGAAAATCAATTTCTAGAAACGGTTTTAAAACCGCCCGTGAAAATCACTTATTTTACAATTGATGGCATAGTAGCGGTTTTTTAAACTGACCCTGATGTTTGTTTTTGACCATTAACAAAAATGCTTTCTGTACTAGTGTTGCTTACCCTATGCTCAGAAGCATGTTGTATTACTTTGTAGTGTACACCCTCTCTGTTGCTGGCACGCAGTGATGCCACATTGAACCTAATCAAGTTCATGTTGCTAATCCCAATGATACATGCCTTTGATATGATGGACATACACCATCATCTCCAAATTTAAGACACCAATAATCGAGCAGGGCATTTGAGTGCTTCACAAGTCGTGTCATGCATCACTTACATTTTCCTCCCCAGAAGATCATCTTGTTTGTGCGCCTATCAGTTGGTGTTTAGCAGTGTGTGGAGAAGATACATATGGTGATTGTAGCCACCATCAAACCAATGTAACAAAGCTACATGAGTTTGAGATATAGGAAAATGTTACTTTACACCCAGGTCAAGATAGTAGTCTTCATATTGTTGTTCAATGTTTCCTTTGAAAGAATCAGGAGGGGTTGCCCCCTACTACTAGTTATGTGCATATATATATATAAAGAAAAGCAACAACGAAAGTACAACTTTGTCAAGGGAGTCAGAAAACAAAGAAAGTGACAAAGAAAATCAGGAAGATTACAACTAGGCTTCGAGCCATTGGGAATTAGAGGGAAGTATCTGCCTTTCGCTCGATGAATAATCAAAGTGAATTCTTTTCTGAAAATTGATGTGCAATTGTGAAGGGTTGGTGTTATTCCTCTGAAAACAAGATCGTTTCTTGACATCCTTGTGCTCCAACACATAAGGCCAATCATTTCCATGTAACAGTACTTGGAGTTGATGCTTGAAGGATCTAAAGATGTCTTTTGGCTCTTGAAGTCCGTCTAGTTGTAGATTGTGGGAGCGCCAACAAGCTGTCACAAAATTGCAGTAGCAGATTCCTCAATTGAAGATGTGCAATGTACACAATTGTAAGACTAGCAAACCATATTCTTGCGCTTCAAAAGTTCACGTGTACTAAGTCGGTCCCTAAGAAGCGACCAACAAAAGACTTTGTGCTTCGACTGAAGTGAGGATTTTCATAGCCACTTAAAAGCTTAGTGTGTTGGTAAGTGACCAAAGAGAGTTTTATTTGCTTTGGCAACTGAAAAGTTTGTTGAACCCCAAATATTGGTCCACTTGTCATTATCCTGTGTAAGGTGGAGATTTTGAAGATCTAGAGACAAAATTTGTAGCTGCGCAAAGGTCTGTGACAGACAAAGGTATATGGAAGAGTAGCTGCAGACTATCTGGATTTTTTGTCTTGGAGATAGAAATCTTGTCGTTCTTTGCAAAGGAGTGCAATTCGGGATAAAATTGATCGAGAACTCTGTCATTACAGAGGTCCTCCCATAAAAGAAAGTTTGTACTGTTTTGAACTATAATTGAGGCGGCCCTTTATAAGTGTTTAAAAGTCTCAAGATATCTCTCTACCAAAAGGAACCTTTCGTAATTTGACTGTAGAGTTTGTTGTTGGTGTAATGCTTTTCCCAAATCAAAGCAACCTAGGGGGGTATCTACCTTGTTGAAAACATATGGAGGTGCTTCAACATGAGGGCTTCATTTTGTGTTCTTAGATTTAAAACACTTAGACCACCTTCAGGCTTTGGAGTGCAAACCACTAACCATGCTACTTTTGGGGGAGTTTTGTTGTTGATATCTACCCCACGACAAAGACACTTACGGTATTTATCAATTTGCTCAATTGCAATGAAATGTAGTTTGAAGGTACACATATAAAAGGTCGGTAGAGAAGGAAAACTACATTAACCAACTAAAGATGGCCAGCTTGAGAAAGGAAAACTGAAGTGGAGACAAGTCTTTGTTCAAATTTTGTAATAAGGGGTAGAAAATCAATCACTTGTTGTTTTGTTAAGCCTAGTGGAAAAGGCCTAGGTAAGTGAAAGGTAGAGTACCTTGGGCACATCCAAAGGTAGCATCCAGAAGTTCTAATTTGTCTAGAGTAACATTAATGGGGTCATCATTGACTCTGCATAATTTACTCTCAGGCCTACTGATTTAACAATGTTGTTGAGTAAAGCTTTGAGGGTAAAAAGCTCCCTTCCACATGCTTTCATGATAGTGAGAGTTTTGTCTGCATATTGGATAATTGGAAATTTTTGTGTCTATGTATTGCAGGAGGTCTGGAGCAAAACAATGAAAGGTTTTTCCAGGTGTTCCATTGAGAAGAATCGAAGAAGTGCTAGATACAAAAAAAAAATCATTTTCATCCATCTCGTTCACTTGGGTCCAAAACCTTTGGGCAACATGACATGTATCATAGTCTCATGCTCAACCTTGCCTCATGCTCAACCTTGTTAAATGCTTTGTCAAAGTGAAGCTTAAGAATGACAAGTTCTTTCTTAGAGTGATGACAAAGGTAAAGGTATTCAAAAGGTCAAGCAAGGCAATCTTGTATAGCCCTTGATTTGATGAAACCATATTAATTTTGATGAACAAGTCTGCATGATGTAGACCTGTAATCTGTTGGCAAGGAGCTTTGTGATAATTTTCATTGTGCAATTCAGAAGCGAAACGGACCTAAAGTTATTGGAGTAGGCTTTTTGGGACTGGGTTATAAGTAAGCCATTAATACTTTGTAGGAAATTTGAGAAACCAATATATTAAGACTAATTAGTTCATGATTTGACAATATGATGCTACAGTAACAAATGCTAATGATGAATTAATTAGACTTAATAAATTTATTTTGCAAATTAGTCATGGCTTATATAATTAGTTCTATAATTACCTTATGTTTAGTCTTTCTTATTTACATCAAACGTTCAAACACCCCCTAAAACGGCAGAGTTACGATTCCGATGCGGAACGGAATGGGTCAGCTCTCGACATATCCGATCCGACCGTTTTCCGGCGTGGCCACTATCCCGCGCGCGGAGTGCTCCACGCGTCCATCCCGGGCCAGGCGTCCTTCACGCCTTCCTTCTCGCCGCCGTCGTGTCCTCCTCCATCCCTGCAGCTGCAGTGGGGGTGGACCGGAGATCTCCGCGCCAGCTCCGATTGGTTCCTCTTTTCCCGCTTTGTTGGTAAGGAGATACCCTAGCTTCCGTGGATTCGTCTCCTCGTGCAGAATTTTTTTTAATTTTTGGTACGGGCACTCCAACCCGTCCAGCTCGTCGCGGATTCAGTTCATTTGCCGCGCGGCGGAGTACTGTTCTGCAGCTGATTGTTTTTCTTTTCCAACAACTTCTTCCGCGAGTGTCACTCAGGTCCTCCCTTGAGTCCCCTCCCCTCCCCTGTGCTGTCTGTGCTGCAGCCAAGAGAAGTCGTTGCTGCAGAGTGCAGAGAGCCTTGGATTGGATGTGGGATGAAGCGATGGCATCGGACGGAGGATCCTCCTCTAGCTTCCGTGAGTTGTACGGCAACATCCACGGCCCGGCGGTGCTCACTGGCGCCGCGTTTGCGCTTGTGGCGCTCCTCATCTCGCTCTGGCTCATCCTGCAGCACCTCAGATCGTACAACGATCCAGCCGTAAGTAACTGATGTTTTTAGTTTTGTTTACGCCACATTCCATTCCATGAAAAAGTAGTGATCCCCTGGTGTGTGTAACTGATGTTTATGGCTTGTTTGTTGTTATCCGTGCTGAACATTTGTACTCACCTGCTGCTGAAATCCTGCAGGAGCAGAAGTGGATCATAGCTGTGCTGTTTATGGTGCCTGTTTATGCCTCTGAATCTGTAAGCGCTAGCTCCGCTTGTTCTGATGCCCAGTCGAGGCAGAGAAATGCTATTACTAGAAGTAGTTGTCATTTCGCATCAATAGAGAACTTATCTTGAGAAAATATCAGTGTAGTTCTTCACTACTTCGCGAACAAAATATGAATGGTCGAATGGTGTTTCACTAACTGGCTTCAAGTACTGGTGTGGATGACTGGACGTGTGGTTGTCAAGATTGGTCCTTTCAGAGTAGTTGGGATGCTTTGATTTAGGATCTCCTTTAATTTTCCTTACAATGCAAAGGTACTGACATGAATTGATATCCATTCCAGTTTCCGATTCTTTTCAGATAATTTCGCTGTGGAATTCAAAGCTCTCTCTGGCTTGTGATATATTGCGGAATTGTTACGAAGCCTTTGCTCTGTATGCCTTTGGACGATACTTGGTCGCTTGCCTTGGTAATACTGCAGAATAATCTGCATCAGCATGTTTGTGATCTTTTTTGTTCTCTAGAGGGATCATTGTAATCTTGTGATGATCAGCTACATATTTATGCTCCCACTCTGTCAGCTCTCTGAATTATTAGTTGCACTCATTTTTCATTTGTTGTTACATTACGCTTCAGGCGGGGAACGACAAGTGTTCCATTTGCTTGAGAACAGAAGAAGGGATGAGCTGAGCGAGCAGTTGCTAGAGAATCAAGACAAGACACAAGCTCATAACCGAAGCAGAGTCTACAGTTTCTTTTGTGACCCTAATGCTCTGGGAGAGAACTTGTACACGATTATAAAATTCGGTCTTGTGCAATATGTGAGCTATTTTATAATGAGAATATGTTCCCTTACCCGACACTGGCAGATAATGACATGCCATAACTTTGTTTGACAAAATTGCAGATGATTCTGAAGACACTATGTGCTTTGTTGGCATTGATCTTTTGGAGCCTATGGCGATGGTGAATTCAAGTGGAATTACGGGTATCTGTCTTTTTCACCTTTTTTGGTTATCGAAATTAGCAAAACATCTGAGGTTGAAGAAACCCAAAATTGAGTTTTTATTGCATCAGATTCATAAACTTATTTCTATATTCTACTAAAAAAAGAAACTTCAGTATTTCCCTTCTTTCTGTGTGCAAATAATTATGTTTCACTATTATGTTGCTACTATGTTGTTTCCTAACATGTCGTGCTTTTATATGCAGATATCCTTATATTGCTATTGTCATAAATTTCAGCCAGACATGGGCATTGTATTGTCTTGTAAAATTTTATAATGCAACACATGAAAAACTACAGGCAATAAGGCCACTAGCCAAGTTCATAAGCTTTAAGGCCATTGTATTTGCCACTTGGTGGCAAGGAGTTGGCATTGCAATCATTTGCCAAACTGGACTCCTGCCCAAAGAGGGAAAAGTGCAGAACGCACTACAGGACTTCCTCATTTGCATTGAGGTACACCTCCTGGTAAACCATCTCTTCCTCGTTACTTGGGGGTAAAACTCTAATCCCTTTCTGGTAGATGGCTATCGCAGCTGTAGCACACGCCTATGTCTTCACTGTGGAGCCATACCAGCAGCGCATCCCTGTACTTGATCATGGGGAAGTCACATGTGAGGAAAGTAAAATGGAGGCGAAGTTAGATGTCAACGATGATACAAGCAGTACACCACCTACCATTGAGGAGCAGGAGACCCATGTTGAAGCTCCAGGGACGAGCATCAAGGAGAGCGTGCAGGATGTTGTCCTCGGCGGCGGCCAACATGTAAACTGATAGCTTCTGAATTTCAATACCTTGGCACCTGAATTCAGAGTTGTTCATGTTTAACATAATTACTACTGGCTACTTCTTCAGGTTGTCAAGGATGTTGCCCTTACAATCTCACAAGCGATTGGACCTGTGGAGAAAGGTGTCGAGAAAGGCGTTGGGAAGATTCAGGAGAAGTTCCATCATATCTCGCTGAAGCCAGGGGACAAGAAAGAACCTGAAGTTGATGTGGAGGAGCACATAACTGAGAATGTGGTGGATGGCAAACCTGTTGCAGTCAACGCAGAGGTTGAAGTCGAACAGAAGGTGCAAGATAGTGGCAAGGAAGGTGAAACTGCCGTGGTTGAGACTGATGTGGAAATCAAAAGAACAGAGAAGGACGATGAAGTGTAGTGCTCACCCAAAGCATCTGAAGAATTGCATAAAGCTAACGAAAGTGGAAAAAACGTGTACATAGTTTATGTACTTTTCCCCTTCTGTTCTGGGATTAAACCATCCTCTGTCCCTTAATACAGTGATTAGAATTACATCGACGCTGCATACAACTTATATATAGTTCATTCTTGAAAGATGTACATACTGAAAACCGATGCTTTTTCTTGATCGAGTCAAGTTAGATAAACACGTGATGCCTATTCTATACATTAATTAATGGAAGTATTTACATTTACGTTACTATACAACACAATCTCACCAACTTGCTCATGTGCCTCAGCCCTCAGTTCGGCCCGCCGCAGCACAGCTCTGAGCAGCACTCGAAGCATCCCAGACACGCGAGGGCAGCGCAGGCCTGCGCCATGACAATGGCGCACTGGTCGTTCATCTTGCTGCACGCCTTGATGAAGCACATGCAGCAGCAGCAATCCGCCACGCGGCTGCAGCAGCCAACGGCCTTCTCGAATATCACAAACTTCTCCGGCGCTTTCATGTCTCCGAATCCTGTTGTCAGGTTCTCCCTTGTCGCCGCAACATCACCAAATCCCAGTGCTAGGCCACCAAGCGGCATCGCTGGTAGCTCATCTGGGCTGCTTTGTTTTGTTGGCTTATTCTTCGCCTGATCAAATACAGCAGTATTACTGTATTAGTCACAGATTGTGGCGGCTTTCTAGTTTAAATACATATTTTGGCTAGCATAAACCATCATATATTGGTGCAAGCAGTGTGCTTTGAGTCTCAGTATAAAAGTTGTCTCTGAAACTCTTGGGAGAATGTACTTTCATGTAAGATATTAAAGTCCATATTTCCAAATGGACCAATGAAAATGTTGAAGAAACAAAAAAGAACATGAATATTCAAAGGTGTGTTGCCTTCTGTATGGCCCTGTTGCTCTGATCTTATAGTTTACAGTCTTCATTAACTTGAATTGACGATAAACCAAAATTTAGTTATTATAGAAATATAAGCTTTGTAGGAAAAAAAAAATCGACCTGTTGTGCTGGATCTATTTTGTCCAAGCTGGTTTGAAGTAGTACCATGCGTGTGTACTCAGAAGGAAGGCTATTCTGTATGCTTAATTTCACAACCTGTAAGTTAAAGTAGAGAGGATATAATGTTATAAAAAAAAACTATTGTTATTAAGTGCACAGAAATAGACTGCAGCAACCCTAAATGTTGGCAGAAAGTAGCCATGATGTATAACGGTTCTAGTTGTAATGCAGTGGTGGTTATTTCACTCTTGACAAGAAGAAAAATAGAAAACAGCTAAACGATACAGTAGTGACAAAGTTGCAACATCACGATACTTGATTGCAAGGACTACTATCACAAAGGATCAGTAGTTCAGTACTAGTAATACCTTACAAAAGGCAATGGCAGAAAAGAAAGCAATGTATAAAACTACGAGCGCAATTTGAGACAATCGATATGCTTGTTTCATAGGTAAATGCGAGGCTTGTCAAAACCATCACCAAAACAGATAATTTTGTTAATGACTCGTAAATTAACAAATTGAGTTATCCATCTCGTGATTTTGGTGATTCTTTAACAGTTTAAGAATTTATTTTTAATAGACATTAAATACTGCCCTAAAACGAGCACCAACAGTCATACTAAAACTTCAGCATCTTGGTTGCAGTGTTCATTTAAGGACCTTCAGTGTTCAGCCACTAGCTGATGTGATTCTAGCATATTTTTTCTCTAATATGCAGGACAGCTGTGTATCATTTCTGATGCACATAACTCTCTTGCGTGTTCGAGAAAAAGGTGTGTACAATTTCATTAAAGAACGAACTATATCATACAAAGTGACACGACAGATAAGAATTAGCCTTTAATGGATTAAATAACCTTTTGCTCGAGCTCTTTATTCTCCATAAGCCATGCTTTTGCTGTGAGAAGATCCATCTGTTGCTTTGCCAATACCTGAGATCGGAATCAGCAAATACAACAACACAGCCTTTTAGTCCCAAACAAGTTGGGGTAGACTAGAAAAAAAAATAAACGTAAGTAGACCAAGAGTACTTGTTTAGTTCAAGGGATAATTAATTTCTTATAGGCCACTGCAAACAATATTTCAAGGGAGGATGGATATGCCATACATTGTGGCTCTAACTTCTGACTCAAATCAAAATTGTCAGTGACACAGTGAGGGATTTAGCAAAAATTGAAGTGGCTAGTGAATATTGAATCCTTTTTTGATCAAGGATATGCAGATACTTTCATGACTACAGACTTCAGCAATTAAAACATCAATTCAGTATTCAGCATATTATTGGAGCGATTGCCTTCATAACAGATGGGGCTGCAACTGCAAGACAAAGCGGTAATCACCCGTTCGGTTAATCTGTCTGTGAGGGTAGTTTGGGGTTGTGACTGCTAGTATTTTGGTTCCTGGTTTAGTATAGTTACCGGCTGTTTGGGGTTTTGATTTGCTGGACTGTCTGGAATGGCTTTGAGTTGGGTGGTCAGTGGTCTTTCCATCCAGGATGATGTAAACTATTTGAAGGTTTTTGGCATTGCCTTCAACTCTAAAAGAATTGCCTTCATAACAAGAAAAAATGGCATATTCAGTGCATTTGGGATCAATATTAGTAATTTTTCCTACCAAAAATGGATGAGTACATCACTGAAATAAACAGGCCTTGTTTGTGCTCTGCTGTGCCACAGGTCCAGTTTGCACAAATATGGTCAGAAGTGTTGGAATGGAAAGCGAGGGTGTTGCTTTTGCAACCACAAAGAAACTATTCACCGCCTTTTCTTCAGTTGCCATTTTGCTACATCAGTTTGGCGCATTTTCCAGAACTCCAGATTGCTCTAGGTACAAGTCCATCTACAAGCATTGTGCACATGTTGGTGGATTGTCTTTTAGGTTCAGGTAGCTGCTCTATGCTCTACAGGTAGCTGCTCTATGCTCTATATGGCTATGTTGAAATGATATCTGTTGTTGATAAAAAGACATACATGTCTTTTATGCGAACATCTTCAGGGGAGTTTATTACTTCAGACATTGGGCTTTGTTTCAAAAGGTGCAGGCATTGGAGGACATACAAGTGGTGTCCCAAGCTTTGGAGGTCGTTACCATGAACTCATTTACCAAGAATAACTGGCAATTTAATAATAAGCAATGTGGCTAATATTTTAAGCATCATCTGGGTGATTATATTTATTTGAGATTGCAGCTTCACTCTATAATAATGGACAAGGTTGTATGTATCCCATGATGAAAAATGCCGGAACAGTTTCCTGGATCTAAATTCAAGCTATGCATGGTATGGGGCATTTGAGTCTCTCTCATAGTAAAGAAACTCTTCCCAAACGCCACATGTTATGATGGAAGTGTAGTCAATTACATGCAATTGCAGTGCTACATTTGCAATTATGCATTTATTATGTGGCATATGTGCAAAATTGAATGAGACAAAGGCAATATGCATCTGTCCCATAAAACAATTCAAAATAGGAGAACAATTTGGTACTATGACCTTGTACACCAGTAATATAGTCATAATCATGCAAAACCATAGAACTTTGGTTGTGTGTCTAAGTGTGCCAAGAGAGGAAATGGTTCAAAGTCAAGTCAAATTAACAAATTGCATTTACATGTTTTATTTGGCTACCTTGTTTAGTGCTCGCACTGCACAATCTTTAACTGGACACTTGGAATGATGAATAAAACAGATGGGTAAGCCACTTCCAATATATCTGGTTACACTGTAAGTTTCTTGGGGTCAAGAAGCCACTTCAAATTAATCCAATAGAGTTCAGCCTTAAGGTAGAGGAAAACTTCATTCTTATTTTGTACAAGGTATCTGTATCGGCAATTTAAAATAATTGACCATCAAAGTTACTCTGATACTTATAATGTCTATTTCATTGACTGATGTACATCAGCAGGTCAGAGTAATTGTAAAAAAAAAAAAAATCATCTGAAAATAACTACATAAGGAGTATTGAGTATCTTACTTTATCAAGAGGTATATCCTTTAAATGTTGGACTTTCAATTCAATAGATATTTCCCTCATGTCAGCCAAGTGACCCTTGGCAATAAGTGTCTCCGGAAGCTTGCCATTGTACCTTCCAGAAACACACAATGGATATTTTGCTGAAATGTCTGGAATATATTCAGAATCCACCTGATTGGAAAAGAAAAGCTTGAATGTAAGAAACATAGCTGTATAACCAGATAAGGAAACTAATGGCTAAGATACTGGCACAGTTCACTCGGCTTTAATCAACTTTCTTATTGCAATGACAATGGCCTAAAAATTACATGCATCTACAACGTAATCCTTCCTTTTAAAATAGTTGCATAATCTAAGGGATTCATCATTTCAATAGTAGATCCAGCTTTATCCTCTGTTCTGGCCCAATATATCAATTGCTGTGGACAGTTTGTTTCTTGTTGTGTGCACAAGGTAGTTGAACAGCTACTTTGAAAGGAGACCGTATCACACTGTATAGTAGATATAATCTTATCATCAGGAGAATAGAAAAGGTAATTACATGGGTTGCTCTTTCACAGGCAGCAACAGAACAGTGAATGTACACTAAAAATTACTCACTTCAAAATCTTGAATATGCTTTATGGCATCAATGGAAACATTTGACACTATAGTGCTTGAGGCTTTCTGGAACCATTGAAGCATTCGACACTCAATTGATCCTGAGGTGGAAAAAATCAGAATAAAGAAAGTTCAGTTTTACAAATTTGATTAACCTCCTCAAGTCCCTTTATAATTTATGTCAGTCAACATATTTAATATTCATTAGTTTTACTCGATAAGAATCCATAATGCCTTTTGTTTTGAACCCATAGTTGCTGGACTCAATGGAAATACAAAAAAGATATCAGAATGCCTATTATATGAATATACTAATTTTGGCAACATATTAAACAAAAATCATTTTATCGGTAGCAAAATCCTAACTTTTGATCATGTAGCAACAACAAAAA